TGCATGATGAATAAGTAACAATAAGATAAACAGAGGCCAGCACGTAAGAGTGTTTTAGCAGTAAGTTGGTCATAAGTAATATCATGCAGGTCGCGTCAAACACGTCGTAGCCAACATAAATTAAGCCACAAATATAATTCCTTAGAGCATAAGCATACGCTGAGAACATGTTGGTAATAGGACAAGCGAGCGAGACTCGGGCTATAAAAGAACAGCGCATCGCACAGAATCGTGCAGTTTGATGTCATAGCCGTCTAAGTGTGCCGCGATAATTAAAAGGAAAAAAAGTAATAATAAATATAAAAAAACCTCGTACCACATGGAAGTCATACCACAAGTCGGGTCACCTCGCTGGTTCCTTTTCCTAGCCAACGTCTACACAACGCTGTACCCCGCTTGATATACAATAAAAGGGAAGTTTAAACCATCCCACCGTAGGTTCAAAACATTTCGTTCTAAAGAAAAATTCTTGCAACGAACCCCGGATTGACTGAGTTCCACCCCGGTTAAGAAGACTCGTTACAGCTATTATCACAAACCTCATCACCCAATATCACAAATGGTATATATATGCAGTAGTGGTTGTTAGGAAATGCGACAAAAAATGGAATTTTATCATAACCCTCTACGCTAACGAAAACAATAAAAATCTGTTTCCCTAAACCGACTTCAATCGTTTATCGATTATTTATTATTCGTTTTTTTTTTGAGTATAGATATTATAATATTGGAATTCTTTACTTCACAATTGTTATTTTGATTAGAAATCGTTTTCATAAATTTTGAGATGTTTTTTTTTATTAATCAAATTAATAAAATTATAAATATAATAAAAAAACAAGATAGAAATAAAAATGGGGCAAGCAATTATGTACATAGCAATTACAGACGGTAATTTAAGGTTATGCGGGCATCAACGTAAGATTACTCGACTAGAATCGATCGCATTACAAAACTCCAATTTGTGAAAAAAAATCGTCTATTGACAACGGATTCGTTACATCAATCGTTTTTTTTTTAGAGAGACAGGCTGTAAAAAACCGATGAGATTGGAATATATCTTTACAATATTTTAAGAGTTATTTATTTGTACTTGTTTTTTGTGCATATTATGCATTTGCTTTAGTGCTACTTTTTCATAGAGTGCACGAACATAGCAAAAGAAATGAAACAGAATAAACTTCCCGGTACAGAAGCCAATAATTGGTAACGTTGTTCTGTCATAGTACTCGATTTGGGACGAAAAGCCCAATCAAAACTGCGCTCAACCGCTCTTTTCCATTTACCATAACGTTGTCTCTGTTCCGCGGCATTACTTGTTGGCAGAAAAACGTCATAGTAGATATTTTCGTAGTATTTTTTTTCGATATCAAACTTAAACAAATCTACACCCTCAGCTTGGGCAGCGCACATCGCGGCGCCAAATGCTGTCGGATCCAAAATTTGAGAGCGAAATACAGTGACGCCAGCAGTATCTGCTTGTAGCTGCATTAGTAGATTATTGGAAGACAGTGGACCATCTGCGTATAACTTACTAAACTTATATTCAGATTCTTGATACATACATTCCAGGATATCACGTGTTTGAAAACAAATTGATTCCAAGGCAGCTCTTATCACGTGATGTTTGGTGGAATGATGCGTAAGGCCAACTATAAGACCACGAGCATCTTTACGCCAGTAAGGTGCGTATAGGCCAGTAAATGCGGGCACAAAATACACATCTCCAGTGGTTGGTACTGTTTCAGCAAATTTTTCAGCATCCGAAGCCTGTGGTAGAATGCGGACTTTTTTTTCTAACCATTCCAAGGCATGACCAGCAACTGCCACTGCTCCTTCCAGAGCGTACGTGACAGGAGCGTTTGGCCCCAACTTATAAGCAATCGTCGTTAGTAAACCGCGAGGCGATATTATGGCCTGATGACCAATATTACATAATAGAAAACAACCCGATCGATAAGTATTTTTTGTCTGACCAGGCTTTATACACATTTGACCCAAAAGCGATGCTTGTTGATTGCCCAAAATGCCGCTTATGTCAACACCATGCAAAATAGAACGTTCATCTGTAACAGAGCCGTATATTTCTGATGAACTACAAATTTGAGGCAGCATATTCAAAGTCACTGAATAAGTTTTTAGTAAAACGGGATCCCATTGCAAAGTTTCAATATTCATAAGCATTGTTCTGGAGGCATTGGTTACATCAGTTATATGTAGCGAGCCTAAAATCCGAAAAAAACAACATAAATAAATTGAAAGGCCTACACTTTGTGCACCTACCCTTCGTTAAGTTCCAAATTATCCAGCTGTCAATAGTGCCAACTTTACAGCGCTTCTCTCGACAAGCTTTTTTTACGGCGGGAACATTGTCTTTAAGCCAACGTATTTTTAAGGCCGAAAAGTAGGGTGATATAGGCAAACCGCACATATGTTTAAAATAATTTTTATTTTGATCGGGAACACGTGCTAATACTTGGTCGACTGTATGATTTGTGCGTATATCATTCCAGACGATGGCATTGTACAACGGCTTGCCACTAACCGAATCCCAGACCACTGTTGTTTCACGTTGATTTGTAATACCTATTGCAACCAGATCCTCTTTCTGGAAACTTTCAGGTAACTTAGTTATAGCGACTTCGACACAGCGATAGACATTATTAATGATAACGACTGCGTCTTGCTCGAACCAACCCGGTTTAGGTGCAATCAAAGGCATTTCCATTCGGTGGGTGGCAATTTCCTCAAAATGGGGCGTAGTAAAAATTGAGAAACCGACGGTACTAGTGCCCTCATCGATAACACCCACCAAGCGGTGAGGCAGCATAGAAACCTTACGATCAAGCCGATGTTGAAAAGGCACTTCGGCACTAGAACTTGGTGGCGCATTTTTACCTTCTGTCATGTCGTTTTTATATGGGGAGCTGTTTCCATTAGATGACTCTATAATTGCAAAGATGAACAGAAAAATCCATTGTTCGTAAATATTTACCATTATATTGATAATATTAAACAATAACTACAAAATATTTTCACGCCCACTGCCCTTAAACATGGACATAAAGTAAGTACTTCGCGAAAGTAATTCTAAGGTGGAAAGAAAATTTTCAATCTAACTAGCGAAGACGAGCATAGCACGATTAACTACTTGACATAATTACATACACAGGAGCGGAGAATTAAAAGATAATTTACAAAGAGCTAAGCAATTTTCATACCTTTACCTTAATAGATGGGTATTCAAGATTCGTTGTGAGGTGAATGCATTCGCATTCGTTTATATATATAGTTATTTGTTAATGAACATTTCTTAATTATTTTTATGAAACGTGTCCCTTTTTTTTGAATTATTTATAAAGTTGTACGACAACAAAAATGTATACAAATGACTCACTAAACTGGATCGATCTTGGTTTAGTTCAATAAATATAAAAAATTTAATAGATTTTCTAATCAGTGCTTTCATTGTCCGCTTAAGTTTAAAATTTAATTTGAGTTTGACAATTTATGATAAGGGAAAACTGAAGAGGAGGGAGAATAATGTGGATGTCGATCAGAAATACAATACAATTGTCTGAAACGTGCCTCCGTCAAAACTAAATTGAATTATGATTCATGTGAATTATATTTTAGAATCTAAAGAACAGTTGGTTCAAACAGAATCCAATTTGAGTGATAGACGGCTATAGTAATAAGTAAATTTTATTGAATAGAAAATGTTATTAAGCAGTTTATACTATATACAACAGTGCGTAGTCACTAAGGTTGTATGAATTACTGTTCAATCATTGAATTTTTCACATTGTCTACTTATAAATAACACATGAGAGTTGTTGTTAATGGAAAAAGTGAGACGCTTGAGGTTTGATTATTAAACAGCCTAGAACGATTATCGAATAGCGATTAGCAAAACATTGCATCACATATTGGCATTAGTATTAGCTACTAATGCTAACGTTAACGCGTTTGCAAAAGCATTAATGATGAATTCGATGAAACTGGCGAAGACCAACTTTATCTTCGGGCAACTATTTATTTTTTCCTAGTTATGTTTTAAACAAACAGAAAGAACTTAATGCCTTAGAGAATAAATGTTAAGTTTTCCTTTAAAAAGGCTTTTGGTATTCATTATCAGAAACTTGAGGATTCAGATAAATCTGGAATTTTTAATCTTATTTTAGGATTTATGAAGAACTGTCTCTCAACGCCAACAAAGAATGCACAAAAACTGGCGAAAGCATACTAAACCCACATAGCGAGCACAACAGCAAAAACAGCATACATAACAACAATTCCTCAATTTATAAATGAATAAAGTTGCCTTCGTTATTCATCCAAACAATTGTCATGAGCTTTCTATTTAATAAAGGTTATTCGCGAAATGTACGCTTATCACACATTTGTGCAACAGCAACCGTATTGCATTAAATATTTTATTATCATTTGTATGCGTAATTTCATATAACACACACATTCATATAGCGCACATGGTTCAAATGAAATTCAATTTAACACGCACACACGCACATGCTCATGAAAAGAGAGCAATAAACCCAAAAAAGGTTTGCATACGAATAATATTAAAGAAAAAATAATTTCACATATTTGCGTATTATATACGAGGGCTGGATGACAAACGATGTAAAATTTGATTTTAAAATTTTGACAAAAAAGACTTTTTTTGCGGATGAGAAATGAATGCACGTATACGTGTCAGAAACGTGTGATAAAGCGATTGGTAAAAATATAACAATCCTGACCCAAAATAATTATTTGTAGATCGAGCTATCGCATGCGTTGTCTAAAATTTGGAAACGATACTTTTCGAGCAAAAAATCCATTACTAAAGCATGATCTGTGGCAGGATCATTAGGAAGAAAACTGGATTTTATTGTTATTTGCATGAGTTTTGGGCATATTTTTTTATTAATGAATAAAGTTTCCGTTCGTAGAGCATTGATGATGATGAATGATCATTCTTCATTTCTTTAAGCAATGATATTACCTTGTGTGTGCACTAAAGATAAAGGAGATTTGGGATAAATAGGATAAAAAGAGTGAAAAGATTTTTTAAGATGCGAACTTTTACATATGAATGCACAATTTAGTCTTGGAGCAAACAATAAAATTTTTTTTTTTAATTTTTAAAAACGAAATAAAGCGTAACCACATTCAAAAAACTTTTTTTTTTTCTGTTTTCAAGAGTTCTGTTATCGTAACTTTACACGCCACAAATTCGCACCTAAAACAAGATTGCAAACATTTTTTGAAAATATGAGTCAAAACATAATAAGTATCGTACGATTTCTTTGAAAAGATGTTTCCCCCAAACAATGCTCACTAGAAAATCTAATTCTGAATCGAATATGCAGTTAGCATTTCAAGACTGCCGTTAGTTTCGTAAACTGAAAAACCTAATCTCGAAAAAAGCACGATTCAATTTTAAACTATCCTTAAAACGATTATTGAAATATTTTCTGCAAAATAATATTTTTCAATTCGAATATTTAACGTATCATTTACACCAATAAAAATGACAATGAAATAGATTTACAAAAAAAGAGTATGTTTTTGATCAAAAAAAAAAAAAAAAAAAAAAAACAGGCAGCGCCCAAGAGATATACAGTACGGACTGTTGATATGTTCGTTCTAATCGTCATATTTTGCGCCCTTTAGCTTTCCTGGTATATACATAAACGCTTACGACTGGTCAGTATTTTCTGTTCGATAAATATTTCATAGCCGTCATAGATAACACTATAGGCCCTGAAGTACAAAAATTCTTAATACATACTTTAGAAAGAGCCAAGAAAGAGACGTGTGTTAAAGTGCACTAGCCTTCAAAAAGACTTTTTTTAAAAATAGTACATCCAATGAAGAAAGAAAGTCTTTCATTGTCAGATCAAGGACTTTTTTAGCATGCCCTCATACACACTCTTTAAAATAAAAATTCAAATTAATATATTTTTTTTTTTTAACTCTCTTTTCTATGTTTTGCTATATACATACACTTAGCACTCTTTTCCTTCGATTAGGAATACAAATTGAAACAAATATTAAACGCGAAACAAGTTTTCTTACTATTTCCAATGAAATGCTTATTGAAATATATAAACATAAAAAAGAAACGAATTTATTATCCGTAGCAAAACGTGTCAGCCTTATTTAAGTGTCATGCACAATCTGTTAAAGTGTAACGCATAACCTGAATGCTTGCTTTCTGTACTAAACATATTAATAAATATAGAAAATAGAAAATAAAACCGGCTGCTGTACTCCGTTTACTTCTCATCCAACTGATAACTTGTCCAAGTGTATGTACGACGGTGTCTGTTTATAGAAATGAAATCAAACAAACAAGCAAACAAAAATGAGAACATTAATTTTTAACCTATTGATACAACCCATTCCCGACTAAAACAGTTATGAAAACAACTGCCATTTCAGTCGCGATAAAAATTTTAATGGCAATATTGTGAATGCTGTCTTTGTTTCTAATGTAATCGCTTTTAAACAATTTATGCTTCTTTTTTTTTTCTTATTTTTATCAATTGAGCTTTACTCTATTATACACTCATCATTGCTAGGCAGAAATCGAGTGAAATTATTAGAATCTTTACGCAAAGACAATGTAAATATATAGATAACTCACTTCGTACATTGATTCGCTAGGAAACATAGAAAATGACTAATGTACGAACGGTCAGCTACGCGATCTGACGAGAATTCTTCTTCTGTTTCGCATTTGCTGCCGATCGCTGTGAGCGCTCTTGCAATTGTTGTTGCGTAAGCTGTGAAAAGGTTGGTTGCAAAATTTTTCCAATAAAATTTATTTCGCACTTTTAAATTTTGTTTAATCGATTCAACTACTGAAATTGTGTCTGTATGTTTATCTCAGTGAAAAAATGTATGCAATGCTAAAATAATTCATTATCAAGGTATCAATCTTAAGAATCCTAAGAATTGACAAATCGAATGAAATTTTTCTGAGGAATAGCGCTGTGCATGATCTTGTGCCTGTTGTTTTTACTGATGCATTGGAAACTTAAGGTTCAACTGCGGCGTCGGTTCCGATGTCTTTATCAAAAAATTCAGAAACGCAATCTACTTTCGATACGTGAAATTTCAATCAATTTCATTGATCCGGTTTAAAGGAAGGGCGCCATTTTCATCACACTCCCAACCACTTCAAAAATGACAATTTTGCCATGAGATACTCGGCCTCACGGATGAACAGATAGATATTAACCCACAATGAAATAAATTCAACTTTTCTTTGAACCTAAAAATTTCTTCGGTTAAACTGTCATAATAATAAGTGAACTAAGAAAATGCACTTTTTTATCTAAATGAGACGACAATTTAAGTGCCTCTTGTGCGACAAGCAAGCCGATCGAAGTGGCAAAAGAACTTAAATATTACGGAAGTTAGCCTTAGAAAAGGTTTCTCGATTATATGTATATAATAATTACACTGTACGTCACTTGTAGTAGAAAGGTATATTAAAGTTATATAAAATTAACACCCAAAAAGGATAGAAAAAGGCCCACCGATCGATTCAGAATCACCTTTTGCATTTATCTAAGGTTCTCCACTCGTCTGTCTGGACGCCCGTCTCATTTTCTTATGTTCAACATGTAGGCATATATAGCAATTTTTGAGCTACTTCGATGAAATTTGATAGACTAAGTTAATTTGGATTAAGCACGAACGTTATTGAATACGGTTCAGATCGGCCAATTTCTATATGATATCTTATTTTGAGAGAAAAGTATTTAATGATAGGCCGCGCCCTGCTATAATGTCTTTAATTGTTGCCACAATTTTTTCTCATTATTATTGCTTTTTATGAATTTAAACGAAAATTTAAAAACTTGAAACTTTTTGGCAAAAATTTTATCAAAAAAATGTTTGAAATTGGTCGCTAAATTGGATTGTATTTATTCATCATTTTAGCGTGGAAGAAGTGTTAAATTTAACAATTTAAAACAGTTTAAATAATGTTAAAGTTTTCAATTTTTTTTAAAGAGGAAATTAAAATTTTGCTAATTATTTAATTAATTATTCAAGTGATTCATAATCACGGATGTTAATGGTGTTAGCTGAATGAATTAAATAAAAAAAAAATATTTTTCCAATTTGTTCGACTTGTTCTGATAGTCAATTCGTATGGATAAAATTTTTATAAAAATTTGGTTTTTTATTAGATAAACTGTTGAACTTCAAATAAGACACAATAACAGGAATAAAAAAAATAGCGCGACTAAAATGAATAAGTTGAAGAAAAATAATATGTGATGTATATATATAGGTGCTTGCTCGTATTTTGATCACTTTTTCACGTCAAAAAGGCATTTATTGTGAAAAATTGGCATAATATATAGTAATCAAAATATTTTTCATCATTTTCGACAACTTTTTCTCATCTTCCCAGCAACATGCCGATACCGTGTCGAAAGAAGGACGTTTGGTGGCGATCCAATTGTCGATCCATCTTCGCGCTTCTTAAACATTTCGAAACCGCGTGTCACCCAAGCCGTGCTGAATCGATCCGAACAACTGGTAATCACAAGATGCTATGTCTGGTGTGTACGCTGGGCGCGGCATTTGAGCTACAATAGTGAGGTTGTCATGAAGGAGAATGACTTTACGTCGATTAGTTACTACTACTGGCCTTTTTTACAACAATATACCATTCAATTTGTTCAATTGTTGTCCGTAGGCATCTATAGTAACAGTCTCATTCGGTTTTAATAGCTCGTAATACACCACACCTTGTTAATCCCACCATAAGCACAGCAACTCTTTATCGCTATGAATATTCCGTTTTGGTGTCACTATCGATGGCTCTGCTGAACTAACTCTTGACTTTTTGCGCTTGGGATTACCGTAGTAAAGCGACTTTTCGTCGCCAGTCACAATACCGCACAGAGAACTTTCCTTTTTTTGCCTGGAAGGCGATAAAATCACGAAGTCGAAACGGTTCGAAATGGCATTTTCACTCAATTCGTATAATAATCATTTTCCCTCCATTGGAATCCTTCCCATCGCACATAAACGTCTAGAAACAGTTAATTCATCGACTGCTGAGCTGTTCGAAACTTGTTTGAGAGTTTAAATAGGGTTTTCGTCCAACAAATCGTTGTCTTCGAACCTTTGTATTCCTCCCGGCCGTTCTTTATTATTGATATCATTATCACCGCTTTCAAACCGTTGAAGCCAAAACCGACGATATAATGGAACAGCTTCACCATAGGTTTCTAAAAGTGGAATTCTGCAGTAGATTTTTTCAAATGAAACAACAAAACTAATGAATTTCGAAAATCCAATTTCGAGCGTTCCTTGATTAGTGCCTGTATACGCTGAATAACTCAATGATACTAAATAGGAAACTCTTATTTTATGTAGAGAAAGGTCAAAATCATCGAATTTAATCGCTGTGCAAATTGATACTTCGGATTATTTTATCATTTCATGTATAGATGTCACTGATCAAAATACGTGCAAACACCTATTATATACATGTCATGTTGGCAAAGATGGAACTTTTAATTTACAATTTTGGGAACTCTGGTGTTATTTAGCAATGACTTAATATTTTGCTCTTTTTTTTTTTTTTTTGTTAAAAAATTACACATGATGGCCGTAGAAGTAAATTATTCCAAACTCTAAAAATATTAATAATAAAATTAAAAAAACTATGTTTTGATAATGGACTGCTCGGAAATTCATACTGTCATGACGTATGATTTCTTACGGAACTGCAACATCGCTTGCCAAATTTCGCATTGGTAACTTTGACCTCACAAATAATCCATGCGGTCGCTCAGAATCAAAGGTCAATAACGGTGTTGAGTCTGCCCCATCTGAAAGTACTTAGGAATAATCTTTATAGTTTGGTCTAAGCGAACAAACAATATTAACTCATTTAGCTCAAATCGAAAAGAGGAAAAAATTAGATAGTGTATTCCCCATAAACTGAACGAAAAACAGATACGAGAGCGTTTGTAA